GTTAAATCCCCCAATCCTCAACCTTTCATCAGATATGTCACCTACTGTATGTTCTCATGACTGCCCTCGTTAATAGCATCCCGGTCTAAAAATCCGTGTCCGGACAAGCGCACCTACGGCCCATGGACTGCGAATAACCGCTTTCGTTGATAAACGTTCGCCGGACCGCTGTTTTAGGAAATCGTTCGCGACAAGAACGTGTTAGATCGCTCTAGGACTTGCGAGGAGGCTACTTACGCATTAAAATGACGTCTCGGCCGCTGCGCTACGTCGCTGACTAGAATGACCATTTCTGGCTTATTAGCGGTCGTCATCCAGACATTCCCAAACCCAAGTAGTGCCCCCCCGAGCCTAAAACTCCTGACCTTTCGATTAGAGCCTATCACCCTAACCGCGCTGAGCCACGACCTCTTAGTCCTGCCGGTTTCGGTCGGGGGATATTGACCCTCGTTGATTAACGTTCACCTGACCCCACTAACGGAATTCATCTGTCCCGCTCTGCCTTGGGCCTCATCGGAGACCCCAACAGCCGTAGCAGCTGGTATTAGTAGGCAGATAGTCCTGCCGGCAAAGATAAAGGAGACTAGAATGGTCATTACTGGCTCATCAGCCGTCGTCAGCCAGCCATACTCAGACCCAAGTGGTGTTCCACCGGAACCTCGAACTCGCAACCGTTTTGTTCAGAGTCAAACACCCTAAGCATTGAGCCACGAGCCAGAAATGGCTATTCCAGTCTCCCCTATCTTTGCCGGCAATACTGCCTGCTTAATAAGGGCCTTCTCACGGTTTTCTTTGAGAACTTTGTCTTTGTGTGCACGCATATTTATAGAAAGTTGACTTAATTGACTTTAATGGTACGCCCTGCCGAGTTGGAGGTTTCCTGAGACTATTACTACACAGCCTCACGGAGATGAGGGAGGCATAACTTTGGGTTATACGGAATTTTATTTATGTTTAATTGCCCCAGAAATTAATCGCTAACTTGAAGTAAATCAGTCTGAATAAGGGATTAATGAACTCAGACCGTGGGCGCATATGAATATCTGGGCAGACATCCATTAGCAAGGGCGAGCTAACGGCGTAAACTCCCTTAAACTACCACCAGACAGGCAGCCAGCCAGCAGTATATATAGCGGTCACATGCTAAATCACATTAACCTACTTATGGTGGCGGTGGGATGGGGGGAGGGCAGCGTTTAAGGTGAGTACTTTGTAAAAATCGGGTGCGAGTTCGATAAGGTGGTCT